TTCGGATTCCGAAATTTCAAGTACAAGTTCCTTAGCCGAAAAGCAAAGACCCCGACTCCATAGCTTGGCACCTCCGAGGCCCTCGACTTTGGAGCTCGACACACCATGGCTAAGCATCATAGTGGCCTCAACACCGAAGCTCAGCCTCCCACCGGCATCAGAAATCCCTTCCTCGACACCTGGCCGAGCTAAGCCCCCAACTTCGGAGCTCGGCACACCATGGCCGAGCATCACAATGGCCTCAACACCAAAGCTCAGCCTCCACCAGGGATCAAAAGGCCCTTCCTCGACACCCAGCTGAGCTAAGCGACCATGCAGCATTTCAATCGAGGAACGAAGAGCCTTTCCTCGGCTCCACCAGGAAGACAGACCTCGAAGCTTAGTTCGACACCTCGACATCTTGCCGAGCTATGCGACCATGTAACACTTCAGCCGAGCACTCCCCCTCCTTAGCTCCAGAACTAGGGGAGTGGTGTTCAGATTCCGAAGTTAGAATTCTTGGAGTTCTGCAACCGATGATTGAAGGACTCCCTGGCCACAGCTCACATTCTGGCAAACACCGAGGAACATTAAGTAGAGCAGACGCTCAACCAGACTTCAACTAGACATCAACTTGGAGTTCCTCAGCCAAGGAACAAAGCATCTTGTCGCACTAGACCTCGACCGAACACTTCATGCCTCAACTTCATAACTGGGCGAGTGGTGTTCGGGCCATGGATGAGCTGGTCCTGATAGACACGTGGCTGCCCAGTCATCACCCAGTCAGCCCAGCCACATTGACATAGTTCGACCATCTTCGTGACATACATGGCCTTTGTGACCTAGGCAGACTACGCAATTACTGTGGCCCCCCATCTTATCCTCTCAACCATGTCAGCTACACATCACGCGGATGAGCATAACTATGGATAAGGAGGAGTAAGGAAGACAACTCCATCGGGGAATAGGACTCTATCTCAAATACCTCGGCAACCAACCTCATCCCGACAACCCCAGAAGCCTAATCTGACTAGGACATGGACCTTCGGCTATAAAGAGATACTCCATGCTTAAGGTAAGGGATTCCGACTTCTGACACTCGTACTTTCTCTTTGCTCGGCCCAGCACTCTCCTAGCTCAGCCTAGCCTTCTTCTACCTCCTACTAACTTGAGCGTCGGAGTGCCTACCCGGGGATAACTCCTCAGGCCTTTGACTTCTCTTTTCTTGATCATAGGTCTTGAAGCGTGGCCTTGTCCTTATAGCTCAGCATTGCCCTGTTAATGAGGACTATCTGATTGCTCTCCTCAATTCGTATACCACCTCGGATTGAGTAGCATCAGAAACCCTAACTACATTGTGTTCAGTGAGTTATAAAAACCCAATATGGAGTTGACACATTGGTTAATTATTGATTGGGTTTTTTTATCTCATTGTACATGTACTCTGTCTTCTTAAAAATGTTCTCTGTTACAAGAATGTAACAGGTTAAAATTCACATAGTAGACAACAAAGGATCAGGGATCAGGGCCGAGTTCATCTAGTGCAACCTGATCAGGTCTGCACAACCTAGGCCATTTGCTGGTATAATTGGTTGTCATAATGTAAGAAATTATGTTTAATTTGTTGCCATACTCTCTCTATGCCTTCACATGAGGACAAACTAACTTCATTAGTGTGAAATAAGAACCTACCCGTTTGTTCACCCCTAGTTAGTAATTTGGTATTTAGGAGACCACTTTGATAACATAAATTATTGGATATAGTTATTTGGATGATTCAGATTGATATAAATCGTATACTTGGATGGTTGTGATTAATTCATTGATCTTAAAAGGTGACTTTGATTGCCTATCTTTGGGTTGATTTGGTACACTAGCTATGTGACCTGAATTTGGTACAATGCTTGAAGGGCAAGAACACTTAATAAAAGGACACCATATAAATGGGACTATATATTTGGTTTCATCTACCATTTCATTCCCATGTTCTGAATTAGTTGATAGATTTTTGCACATTAATTGGATTTTCAAGATCAATCTGAATTATTTTGAAAACCCCATTTTAATGGTTTAGATACTTGCCTAGAAGATCATGACTGAAAAATGTTTTCAAATAAAATCAATGGAAAATAGTAAAATCATCATCTATACTAATATAAAGCGGACACTTGCCTTTTGTTACGTGTCATAAAAGATAAATCCAAATGCCTAGTTTGGCTTCAGTCACAGTCAGTGCACGGTCCATTCGAATAGCCTTTATGGCCTTGCATTGGAAATATCTCCCCATGAAATAAAGTACATATATATACAGATATTCTCAATACAAGGCTATAAAAGTTGTTCGAACAGTTTTTGAACGGGCCTTGCACTGACTGAAACTGATCTCCCAAATGCCACATGAGTATCATATATGGTCAATACTTGCTTGCATATGTACTCTTACAGTAGTAGTTTAAATAAAAAATGGACATTTTCAGGTTTATATTCTTCAAGGTATGCAGGCATATTCATCTATTTATATGGTGAAATGCCAGTAGAGTGATTGATGTGGTAACTGAGTAAAAGTATGGGAATTGAGGGATGTAACACAGTAGTTCAGGGTGTTAAGTGATACATCTCCCACCATGAGGGGTTCTTTTTTATTTATTTATGTATTTTTGATAAAGGGAATTGGATGGGGTACATGGAGTTATTACCCTAAAAGGAATGACTAATAACTAGGGGTGTTCAATTGGTCCAGATCCCCCAAACTGATCCAAACCATAAATTGCCGATTTGATCTTATCTAGCCTTAAAATTGTTTGGTCTGGTATGAGAAATATTTGGTTTGATCTTTTTTTTTTTTGAATTTCAAAAGCCAGACTAGACCATGACCCAAATTATTAATAATATATAATACATATGTTTAAACACATCTAATACAACTATACATATATATATATAAAGAGAGAGATAAGCACACAAGTATTCATTTAATATTTAAACATATTATATAACTCTTTAATGTAAAAGATTAAATAAATCTAATGAGATTTGGAACCTAGTTTGCCATTCGTAACCAAACCATACAATTAAAACATTTCAATTTGCTATTTGAATTATATTTGTTAGGTATGTATGCTATTTGGGATTTTTAATTGGGTTAAGCCTAATAGAATGGCCCAACTCATATTCAAAACTAAACCAAACTTTAATAAAATGGTTTTGGTCTGCTTTGGTTTCTATACTAAAATGATTTGGTCTGATTTGGTTTCTATACTAAAATGATTTGGTCTGGTTTGAGAAATTCTCAAATCTTAATTTTCTGGTTTAGTCTAAGATTTTCTCCAAGCCAAACCAACTAGACCATGGAAACCCCTACTAATAACAACCTATGCTAATGGTAGCCAAAATCACACTTTTTGAGGTGAATGGTGGTAATTGATTGGAGCAAGAGAAGGTGGAAAAGAAAAGGTGAACAATTAAGCTATGGAGTAAAATTGACTTGTGTGTTTCTTTCTTCTTCTCTTGTTCTTATTTATACGGGGAAATTATAAAAAGCTCCTTTGGATTTTTCTGACAATCTTATGAATCTCCCTTGATGTTTAAAAAGAAAAGGATGCAAACACATCCCTTTTATTAGCTCTCTAGCAATATAAACATTGAAGTTACCAAAATGCCCTTATTACTATTAAATTGTGAAATATAAAGTGAATATATTTTTGGGATATTTTAGTAAATGCACATTCAAATTAGGTAGCCTGAACTCAGCCCGAGCCCCACCCAACCTTATCCAACCCAAGTCTAAGTCCAATTATGTACTTGCATATAGACATGTTAATCGACCAAGTGGCCTAATAGGCCAGCTTGACCTAACCCATTATTTCTTGGGCTTGGACATGATTTTTAGGCATATGGGTTGAACTTGGGTCTAAAACACTAGGTTCAACGTTTTTTAAGCTAGGCTCGAACTTTCTTAAAAGGCTTGTCTTGATAATATTCTATATACTAAGAAAATATATTTCATATACTAAAAATATTTTTTTTATATTCATTTTTCTTTGCTCCTCTTTTATTTTTTCAAGCCATGGTGAGGTTTTTTTTAAGTATTTTTAGGTTTTGAGATAGTTCAATATAATATAAAACAATTTTACTTTAAAGTAAAGAATAAAAATTTCTTCTTGACCAATTTTCAAGCTGATCTTTAAGCTTTATATGAGGGTCAGGCTCGAGCTCAAGATCTAAGTTTGATGGTCGGGGTAGGCGTGGATTCAAGCTAGAATGTGTTCTTTTAATAAAAAGGCAAAGCCTGACCCAAATCCAGCCAATGAATAGATCTACAATATATACGCATATATATATATATATATATATATATACATATTTGCGTGCGTTCAACCATACACTTACAAATACATGCATATCAATTTTTAGTGTTATTTAAAAACAAATATCAATTTTTAGCATGAATTGGTTGTCCAATTTGATCCCGATCGCACTCGAGTGGGATAATACGGGCTTGACATCATGCTTGGGTATTTTCTGTAATTTTCCATATATTAATACTTGTAGAACCTCAAACCACATAGGGGGTGCAAATCAGGCGGGTTGGACTGGGCTTATGATCAATCTGGGCATGACCCTAAAATTTGGGTTTATGGCTCGAGTCCAAGGTCAAGCTCAATCTTCCCAACCCAAGCCAACCTACACTATAATTTGATGCACTCGAGCTCAGAGCAGGCTCGGCCCGAGCCGCTCAGGTTGATTAATACCTACATATATATATTATGTATGTAACTATTTATGTATAAATATATATGATTGGACTGGACTCAGATCGGATTTGGACTAGCCTAGCCTGAAAAATAAAAAGACTGACATCTTAGACCCGAGACCAGCCCTACTACCCGTATAAAATTTCGACATGAACCGATTCGGGCTCTAGCTAGGCCAGCCCAATTGGCACCTCTAAAAGCTAAAAGCATAAAACGACACGCTTGGTGCGCACCCGTTTCCAGATTCCAACAGTGATATGAGCTTCGCCCTTTTCCTTTTTCACTACCAAATAAGGCAAAGTCTTGTAAATTCTTCCGCGAAAGGCAAGGATCGTTCCGGTCGTCAAGTAAAGATAAACACATAACAGCCACGCGACCTCGGAGGAGTCAGACGTCCCTTCTCTCTACACTCCTTGAAACGGGTTTCCTCCTTCCACATTTCATCCGCATTTCACATTATGATCCCTTCTCCAAACCTCTACCTCTCTGCGCTTCCAAATATCTCTTAACCCAACTGAGCACGACAGGATTGATGCTTACAGTCGAGAGAACAATTGCGGTATCTTTCTCAGAACTCCCCAACCGTTTTTTTCCATTTGTAAATTTCTTAGCGTTCGGTTTGCTTTTCGAATCTGCATCTCATTTGAATCTCGGGGGGTCTTAAAACCCTAATTGCTAGGGTTTGTGTGTTGTTTTTTTAGGGTTTTGTTCAATGTGTCAAAGAAACATATTATTATTACCCCTAATTTGAATATCTATAGGTTGATTAAACCCTAATTTTCAAGTTGGTTTGGGTTTTAGGCGTTTCTGTTCGTTATATTCTCCATGCTTCTGAAATTATGAAGCGAGACCAGCTTTCCTCCGAATGCGGTGGCTGCGGCTCCGAGGAGCGATGGCTCCTCCACAACGTCCGGCACCGAGGAATCTACCGACGTCTCTGTACTTCTTGCGTCTTGAAGTTCCATGGCGGATCATTTTGCCCTCATTGCTTTGAGGTGTACGAGGGGTCTCTACCTCCACATGAACGCGTCATGTGCTTGAAATGTCCGTCTGTTGCACACCTGGCCTGTGTCGGCATTGAAAGTGCTCCTCGTTATGTTTGTCCCACATGTCTAAACCCTGCCTTCTTGTTCTTCGAAGTTGGTGCCTCGAGTAAGAAGATCAAAGTCGGGGAAGGTGATTCGGCGAATGGTGGAGGGCGGCGGGTGCTTGATCAGAAGTCTGCCAAGGTTTTTCTTGCTTCTGCAAAGATCGCTGCTGTTTCGATGAGCAAAGCGGCGGCTGTGGCTAGGATTGAGGCCGAAAGAAGAGTTAAAGAAGCCTCAGTGACGAAGAAGAGAGCACGGGAGGCGTTGGAGCGAGTTGCTTTCCTCGTGGCAAAGGAGAAAGAGAAAGACAAAGACAAAGAGAAGGAGAAGGAGAAGGAGAAAGAGAAAGACAAGGAGAAAGAGAGGGGAAAGGAATTGGCGCGTTCCATGGTGGAGCAGAAGAAGAAACCGAAAGGGAATACTGCTGTTACTGCTGCTGTGGCTGCGCACAAGCGGATACAAAGTAACCCTAGGGCTGGGGGAAATGGTAAACCTGGTGGGGTTCTGGTACATTTGAATGATATTGGTTCAAGCGTGAAAGAAAGGTTGACAGGGACGAATCTTTCAACTGTAGTGCTAGGGCTGCCTAAGAATGGTGTTTCCATTGGAAACAAGGATAAACAAAAAGTGGTGCCGGGTTCTGGCGTGGTGCACCAGCAACTTCAGAACCATGCTTCTGTGAAAGAAAATGATAAGTTGGGCAGTATGCTTCATTTACAAAATCATAATATACAAGTTGAGAAGGAGAAGAATAACAATGGAGTGCTTACAGTTCCTCCAGTCGTTGGACAATTGCAGCATCCTCAACATGATAATGGTGTGGAAGAGGAGAGAGGCCAGTCAGGATTAGTGGATTCTGAGTTGGGTTCCCGACTGCCCCAATCAAACCAAGGTGGGCAGCTAAGCCATTGTCCTTTATTTTCTATGTCCTTTTCTTTTACATATTCTTTACCATCATTTGTCTTATGGATGTCAATGCATGAGTTGCAGATAAATTGGCCGCAGAGACAATTTCAGGATTTTTACTTACAGGATCATCAAATGCTGCGGGTTAGCCTTGTGAGTTATTCTTGCTGAAACAAGTTGAATATTATTGTTATATTTCATTTTGCCCTTCGATGAATGTCTGGAATCTTGGGAGATCATTAGACTGACTTGTTATGTACCTTAACTTGTTCTAGAGAAGTTAAATATCTTGGACCCTCTTGTATCTTTAATATGAAAACTATATCTGTTTTTTCTTATGCTCCTATGTTTTGGTTTCCACTGTCAAGCTTAAGAACGGACTTGATCATTGTTTTATACAAGAGAATTGACACTATTGGAATCTACATCATTTATTTTAACATGTAACATTTACTCAGCTATTCCATATTTGACAAAGATGATTCACGGATTAATCTTACAAAGTTATCTCAAATTCATCAATGGGCCATCTATTTGCATGAATTATTTAGGATGTACATAGATTGTAATTAAAATGGAATTGGGGTGCCCCCATACACAAACTAATTGTGTTTTTAATGCTAAGTAAAACGGTTGCAGTGAATGGTATGTAGATATGGGTAGAGGAATGAGAGACCCTTGGTTGCTTAGTTATAATTATAATTATAATTATTCTTCTTATTAGGTGCAGTGTCACACAATGTATCATATGTATTTAGTTTTTTTTTGTTTTTTTTGTTTTTTTTGTTTTTTTTTTTCTCTTTGGAGTGGCTATCACGGGGATTGCTGCTGTTGGTGGGAGTTTGGTGTGCATAATGCTGTTCTTAGCCTTGGTGGGAAACTATCTATTACCTTATATTTTTACTTGCTTTCTTTTAATAAAAACTTATCTGAACTGTCAAAATAATTTATCAGTTCAAGGAACTAACATGCATTGATAAATTAACAATCATTCTTCCACTTAATTGTGTGCTTAATTGTATAGAAAAATGTCTTGTTTATCATATTAATAAAAAAGTTCTTGGTTCTACCATAGAGCTTGATGGATGCTAATTTCTTATTAGTAAAGCTCTGTTTGGTGTTCAATATTGTAACATCATGCTTGAGAAGGAATAACTTGATAGAGTTTAGTAAAGATAAGTGGTAAGCAGCAACATATTTTGGATTTCCTTTGGCAGTGGCATGGTAGAGGTCTTGGCAGAACAGTGATTTAAAAGGACTAGGTGCATAGGTTAGGCACATTTTAAGGTATGCGCCTTGCCTAGGCCCCAGGTGCAACACTTTCAAAAGGTGTGCACCTTGTGCTTCAGGCCAGGTGTGCGCCTTTTTATTTTTTGTGTTTTTTGTTCTCTTTTGAACCTAGTAGTTGGGCCCCCCAAACCTGATCAAGCCCAAATAAGTCCATGATAGGGTCTTAATTTCTTAATCCCTACACAAAAAATGATTTTGTAATTTTAATTGCTTTTTAAGAAGATATTTTATTAGGATGAATGAAGAACATTAGAAAATAGGGGTTCTCGGAGTTTCGGTGAGTGAGCAAAGCGAGCGAAAGGTGGCTTGGACCTTTCATTCATTATCCTAGTAAATCATCTTCTTAAAAGGCAATTAAGATTATAAAATCATTTTTTTATAGAGGGATTAAGAATATAAGACCCTAACATGAACTTGTTTGGGCTTTCCTTGAGGGGCTTGGTACAAGGGCGACTTATAGAATCAGGAATGCAAGATGTTTTACATCACATTACCTATTTGAAGTAAACCAATTGAGGAAAGAAAGAGATTGAGGGTTTTGCATGCTTGAATATGTTTTATATATTTGGTTTTATTTTTAAATTTCATTTGAACACGTTTTACATGTTATGTTTATGTATTTTAATTTTAGATAATTGTTTTTTGGGTAAATTACAAAGACCCCCCTATACTATGGGGTCAGTGACAAAGACCCCCTATACTTTGTTTTGCGACAAAGACCCCCCTTGTACTATGACCATGAGACAAAGACCCCCTTCCATTAGCCTTTCGTCCAAAAAACTGTTACAATATTTTTTAATCCCCATACTACCCTTATGAGATTAAAAAACACTGTTCATCTTCCCAACCTTGCGATACACGATAATCCCCGTTCCTTCACATTTCTCTCTCTCTCTCTCTCTCCCACCCCCCCGATCTTAGCCAGTCCCTCACGGCCTTTCCTTTGCCAACAAAGCATCCCACATTGGTTGGATCAATTTTCATCGGACTTCTCATCTGAACCATCATCTGTTTAACCAGGGCTTTCCCTGGCGATTCCCCTTTCACACTGCTATGCTTTTCCGATCCACATATCACCCTAAACTTCGTCGGAGTTACCCAACTTCCCGCTCTAAACCTTGATCTTAGCACTTGTACCCACTTAAGCATGATCAAATAAGCAGTAGCCAAGTGCATTCCGTGTAAATCCAACTTCCCCTCCGAAGGGCACCATTTCAAGGCATCCACCAGTACAGAATATCCGATTACTTGTTCAACCGACAAGGTTTCATCTTTCTGTAGCCTTCCTTTCAGATCCTCCATTGAAAGGGGGACAGATTTCAGGTCTTTGAGCAAGGACGTGATTGTTGGGCATGAAGAATTGTACGTCCGTATTGAAAAGGAAATGTTAGAATCCTTCATTTTTTGAAGCCATGAAGCCATCTCCGATAGCTTGCTATGAGCTCCAAACGACGAAAGAACCATGTTCGAACAAATTTACCCAACATCCTCCATTTTCCGAAGAACTCTTTGCGTATCCGTGAATAATCCTAATCTACTGTATCCACTCACTAGAGACTTGAACTCAAAAGAAGAGGGTTTGAATCCTCAAATTATCTATTCGCATAGGAGGATCCTGGTTCCGTTCCGGATTAGGTTGTTTTGGAGGCGGTTTTTGACCTCTAAGAGCGGAATTCGGGTGAGTTCTCATAGATCTGTCTCAACCGTCTTTTGAAATTTGGTCTGTTTCCTCCCCTTGTGCCTCTTTCTTTGAGTCCCTCTGTTCTATTTCCTCCCCTTGGGTGTTTCCAGTTAAAGGAGTTTGGTCTAGGCCCATCCCTCCTAAAATAGCGGTTTTCTGCTAGGAAGTTTACCATGGTAAGATTAATACTTTGGATAACCTGCAAAAGAAGAAACCTTTTATGTGTTTGTCCCCAAATTTGTGTACTCTTGGTAAATTGCAGAGTGAGGACTGTTATCATCTGATGATATCTTGCTCCTTTGTTGCAGCTATTTGGAATTGGATTTTCTTGTTGTTTGGGTGCAGGTGGAACTTTCCATCCAACACAAATATGCTCTTTGATTCGTCTATCTTTGGTTGGCCCACAGGGGGGGGGGGAATTAATGTGGAAATGTGCTAGAGCAGCTCTGTTATGGACTGTTTGGGAGGAAAGAAATACCAGAATCTTTCAAGGAAAGGAGCCTCTCTGAAGTAAAAGGGTGTATCTTGACAAGGGCAACCCATTGGCTAAAAACTTCAGCACTTTTTGAGAATTACTCCCATGATGATTTCAGGAGAAATTGGGCAGTGGTGGCTTCCGCTTTTTCTCAAAAGAGTAGAATACAAGTTAGTTGGCTACCCCCTTCAGAGGGTGCTGTGAAATTGAACTTAGATGGGAGTAGTCAAGGGAATCCAGGACCCTCGGGCATAGGAGGGGTTTGGAGAGATAAGGATATAGCAACATTATTTCCTTATACTCATGACCAGTGGGAGTTGGAGACTCTACAAGGGCTAAGATACTAGCAGCAGTACAAGGAATACAACTTGACAACCAACTCGGAGTGGAGAATTTGTTAATTGAGGGAGACTCTAAGGTGGTTGTGGGTTGGTTGTCGAATCCAGATACTCTTAATTGGGATTATAGGGATCTTCTAAGAAGAGTTAACTGGCTTACAAGAAATATGTCAATTTTCAGTGGGTTAGCAGGTCAGCAAATGTTTTGGCTGATTCTCTTGCTAAACAAAGGGTTTCAGGGGTTTCTTTGTATCGGGTTACTTTGTAAACTGATTTCTGTTAAGTGTGAGTTTTTTGCTTTCATCCTTAAAGAGGAGGTCACATCTCATGTCTCTTATTAGGCTGTTTGTATGCTCAATTTTTCTCTACTAATGATAGTTTCATTCATTTATCAAAAAAAGGAAACATTCTAGGCCCCGTATATATAAGATATCTACATCATGCTAGTCAATAGAAACTGAAGAATGCAGCAGATTCTGAATTGAAGCATGATGGGGAATTTGTTTGAACAGCTCCTGAATTGAAAACAGAAGTGGTTATACACCTCACTGGCCAATGGGCATTGCAGAAATAAATGACAAACTCTTCCTCTGCAGGCTATCAGATGCTTATCCAACACAGCATGCTAGAGCATGATAGAAACTTTGGAAGGAATATGAGGTTACCAAGCCTCTTTGCGTGAGTTCAGCTTCAGTCAGGGCAGCCCATTCGGGCAGCTTTTACTGCCTTGCATTGAGAATATCTCCATATTTGTGTGCTTTATTTCATGGGGAGATATTCCCAATGCAAGGTTACAAAAGGCTGTTAGAATGGTGTGGGCATAGATTTGCCCTGATAGAATCCGATCTCCTTTGCATGGGACTTTACCACTGGATTGGAGCCAAGTTCTTAAATAATGATTAATGACCTGACAGAAAACTTCCCTAAGCTTTCCCATTTTCAGATCCTTTCATCTTCTTTATTTGTTCAATGGGTGTTATTGAGCAATGTTTTCAACCTGTTGTTGACATGGCCGGTTGAACTGTTTGAACCATGACCTGGCCTTGATTCTGGGTCAGGTTCTGCTGAAACCCACCATTTGGTAAAAAAATGTTGACCTGGTCAAAAGTGCAACCCAGGCAGTTCAACAGTTGGCCTGTTTCCATAACTTTTCTCTCCGATGCCCGATCGGGGTGATCTTTTTTTTTTATATATTTTGGGTAACTTATCGAGGTCATGCGTCACAAGGCACTGAACCCACTATTTTTGCCAAAAAAACCTTTTTGGACCTCAAATGGTAAGTTTTAGCATTTTTTTGCAAATAAAAAAATAAAAACTGAATTAAGAAACATAAAATAATATTTATGTATACATATATTAGGGTCCATTTGGTTCACAGTCAGAATCGGAATGCTCTATTCCTATAGTCTGTTTGGTTCAGACAGGAATGGGAATTGGAATTGGAATCAGCAGGAATGGAATTCCATTCCCAAGGGAGGGGCAAGGAATGGCCATTCCAGTGGGAATGGGAATGGGATTCCGATTCCACCCAACCAAACAGTTGGAATCGGAATAGCCCATTCCGATTCCAAACCCCTATTCCCATGAACCAAACGGGGCCTTACATCTCAAAAATAATTATACATTTTTTATTGGTAAAATACATGTTTGCACACACAAACACACATGATGGATTCATGATATATACTAGCCCCTCTCAGCTTTGGAACTAATGCAATGTAAATTGCAGTTAAGCTTCTTTCCAAAGATCCATTTGCTTGGAATTCTTTGATGGATTTCATGATGTCTTCCTTCACAAACAACCTACTCTTCTTGAAATATAGGCTTGTAAATCCATCATGGTCCAGTGCCTTGTTGCCTTATAGATTTGAAATAACACTCTCTCTGTTGTTCTTACAGTCTTCCTATATAGTTCTGAATTGCAGGCATTCTAAGTTGGGTTTCTTCTGCCATTTTCCCTGAATAGTTTCTTGTAAAATTATAAAATGTAGTTTTTTACTTCCAATTTATCCTCCAACGCCTCTCCACTTTATCTCAATTTTCTGATAGCATTCACATTTCTTCTTGTATTAGCCCTCTACCTCCATTTTATGTCTTCCTGAAATGCTGCTTTATCAGAAACATGTTTTGTCTCCCATCTTCTCCTTCTGGCCTTGGGCATTGGTCCCTCCTATTCTTTATTATTTATTCAAAATCACTGTTAGTCCTGTCACTTAAAATTCGAAACCCACCTTTCTTTTCATATGAGTAATGAATGGTGTTGAACTCTCCCCCCACACACCACAGACTATATTCTACTTTGATCAAATGCCATCCAATTCTTCCAAAATAATGGTCTGGTTTCATCTTCATTCAGTCCATAAAACCCTGGAATTGTTCCCTTGAATCTGCTAGCATAGCTTCAATAGACAATAGGAACATGCCTACCAAAGACTCCAAGGTCCAAGCAACTAGTCTTTTCAGTATTTCCTTATCACATATATGCCCCCTGCTGTACTCGTTGCCTCCAAACACCTCTAATCATAGTGGCCACTTCCCCATACAATTCTGACCGACATGGCGTCCACCATATGTTGTTTGTTTTCTTGTAATAACACTACATGCTCATAAATTGGAGGGACACAATGAAACTTGTCTTTCACCCCATGTTTTCATTCTTCGTCCAAGGGACAGTGAATAAATTGGTTACTCTCATAAATTGTGTGGTGGCTCGTGAGTTATGACAATATTGCCTAGACATATTGTGGGGTGGCAACTTTCATTTAGATCCCTGTAGACGCCATCAGACCATCTGTGATTTCATCCACCGGTGGAAAGGAAGTAAAATGGGAAAGGGGGGAAGGATCTATTGGAAGTCTGGAAGGGAACAATTCATGTAGTGATGTGGGGCATTTGTGAAGAATGCAATAGAAGATTTTTTGAAAATAAAAGCATCCCTTTGTTAGACCTTAGAAGGTATATCCTTTTGTTATCTCGTAGATGCAAACAGATAGAAGTTTCTCTGGAGTCAGCTATGGTGATCTTGGTAGAAATCTCATGGAAATCCTAAAGTCTCTTCAACCAACTCTCTCCTAGCTCTGAGACTTGCTACTTGCTTTCGTCTTGCAGTTTGAGAAATACTGCTGAGGTAAAGGCCGAATTGGGGTGGGGTTATCTTGAGAGCTGATGGCTTTTTGGGCTTTTAGTGGTCCTGTACTCGTGTCACTGCAAGGTACTACTGGAAGGGCTTATGGTTTGCCAAAGGCCTTCTCTCTGGTTCCTTGCTTGTGGAGGGGGATCTAGGATTATGAATGGTTAATCAATTTTGGGAGAGTTCCATGGAGGCTGGCTTATTTTCTGCTTGGAATTCATTTTTCTGTTTCCATTGGCTGCTGCTAAAGATGAGATATTTGAATCAAGTGGTTGATTCCTTAGCTAAATCAGGTGTGGAGAGATTTTTTTTTTGTATGATGCTAAAAGATTAAATATGTCCTTGATTGGGTACCCGTATATAATGTTAGAATCCAAAAAATATGAACTATTTTAATAGTATTCAAAAAACATGGAGACAAGTCCATGTTTTCTCTTGGACATGCATTCATTCTGATTCCCATGTCCATGTTCATGCAATGTTGCTTAGGACTACAGCTTTAACCTACTAGCCTGAGCTCATCTACCCTGAGCTCTTTTAGCCCCATCAATGTGTAACAAATCACTTCTTCCAACTGGTACAGTTGGTTGTCTTCTATGCATGTGCCCAAACCATCTTAGTCTACTATCTTTCTCATTTCATCACCTATTGGAGCTACTCCTAGGTTTCTACGGATAACTTCGTTCCTAATCCTATCCTTTATAGTTTTTCCACTCATCTGTCTTAGCATTCACATTTTTTTTTCTGATCAATAACGCATTCATTAGGAATTTCATTAAATCAGGAAAAAGATGATTACAAAGAAGAAGACGAGCACTCTTGTCTTCCACATACAGCTTGAGCACTTAAGAAAAGGAAAGGAAATGGAAACAGTAGTTTACAAATTGGCCCAAAACATTGAGTCCCTTTCTACCCCTTGTTTAGCTAATCCATCAGCCAAGGAATTAGCCGATCTTTGAACCCACCTCATCTTCACTTCCTTCTCCCTCACCAGCCACTTAAACTTTTTCCTCTCATTACTATAATTCCATAGGCTACTGTTATCTTTATTCAGCCACCCTATTACCACCTCCGAATCCTCTTCAATTATGATTTTCCTCTCATTACTGTAATTAGCATTCACATTTTTGCCACATCCATTTTCTGGAAAATAACTATTGATATAAAAAATAATTGGAAAATAACTATTGATGACAATACTTCCATGTAGAAATGCAAAAAGTAGATAAGCATGCAGAAAATCCTATGTTTGGCATGTTGATTCCTGCATCAATTAACATGACTTATTCAAACAAAAGAAGACCAATTTTGGATTTAGCTTTCATCACGATGTGTTCTTACTCCAGAAGGTCTTGACATTAGGGTTTGGTTTCTTGATCACTTCAGTTCCTTTTTTTCTTTTCATTTCCATTTTTTCCTTTTGTGACAGTAACAGACTATTGACCCAGTGCCGTCTGTGGGTCCCAGTTAAATGATGGTTTTCATTGTTTGGATGAGCTAACTGGCCAGTTAGCCAGTAAAACCATGACCCAGTGAGCATTCTGGTTTTCTGTTCCATCAGTCTAAGACATTTCACACTGCTGTGCAGGAAACACCCCTTCATTTGGCCTAGGTAGTCCCAGTAGCCACTCGTTTGTTTCTGTTATAAATCCCCCCTTGCCCCCAAAGAATCAAATCCCTGAATAATTGAATCCTAGTAGCTCCTTGTTTTTCTAGCCCATCTGCCAAGCTGTTGGTAACCTTGGAATCCAATTCTCTGGTCCTCAGTTGCTTGTCTCTTTTGTGATATATCTATATACACAAGATCCTGTGTTGTTTTTCATTAACCGTCCTACAACAGTTCTGGAGTCACAAGGGCCATTCTGGGAGGAGAAACTGCCTTTCTCTGGGTCCTGCTAAAGTGTCCCCCCATGTCTGTAAGGCAATGAATAAAAGAGTCGCCATAAACTTGTTGTTTCTTAACCTTCCTCAAACAATATTTACAATAAGTTGCTTGCCTTGCCATTTTTGTTGGTTGGATGGGCACATAAGATGACTGAGCCCCTTAAAATCTGATTTCTTAAGGTTGGTATTTGATCATTGAGCAACTTCCAGCTGTTTGAAGATTTCACCTACAATTTAAAATTGTTTAACTGTGCATACGTCAAAGAAAATCTGCAATTATTCTTGGTACATTTCTTTCCAAGTTCTTTTTTGGAGTTGTTCTGTGAGTGGCAGAGGGTGATTATTGCATCAGATTTTGCATGTGGTACTTGTTTTTGTTATTGTTGTTAGTAATTGGAGTCTGGTTAAATGAGGTGTCTGGAGAAATACTCAGACATGTTCATCAAGGAGTAAGATGAAGATGCAAATACTCAGAAGATGGAAACGAGTATTTTTTTTCCTACATCCCATGCATATTTTGTCTCACATTGAACGATATGATTACTGGTGCAGCCACTTTTTGTTGGCATTGATAATCAATGGATCCTTTCTATCTGTTTTAAGTTGTTTAGTTCCAGTTATCGTCAAGTTTATTTACTACTCATTGGATACTTAAATTAAAGTTTTTATGCAACGATTTATTCAATCTAAAGAAATTACAAATACTTATTGAAGGATGGAGTGGGCAAATTTGTTCTAGTTCTTTTGACCCTCAGAAGAAAAGAGGGAAAAGAGAGGGTCAAAAGAACTAAAGCCTATTGTGGCTGGAATGATACTGACAGATAATTTTCTATTGTTCAGGTAAGTGGACCTACTCGTGGCAAATTAAAAGAGCAATACTGCAGCGGTACGATTGGAATGCAGATATCATCCTGTTTGTTCTGCAGTGGTAGTGCCTTTGTTGCCAGATCACGATACTCCTTGCGTTGCCAGCAGGACTGACTATTATGCCATGGCAGAGAGAGCATGCATGTAGTACGGGACGTGGTACTGTGGTAGTGTGCTGTGTGATGGGCAAACGAGGTGACCACATTGGTGTCACGTTATTGGTTTTGTGCTCATGTGATGGGTGAAAAGTAAATACACCCAGAGCATGATCCATGTCGAAGACTTGGTCCCACCATTTGATCCTTAGCAGGGACAGCTTTGGAAAATAATGATCTAGTCTGGTTAGATTATTGAGGATCCTAGCTGTCAGATGCATTGCATTCCTGTAAACTGTCACAACGGTCATGGTGAATGATGTGAGTAAATTGTTTTACCCTTGCCGTCGAAATCTGGTCCCCAAAGTTTTTTGTCCAGAGGCTGGTCTCCAGTTACTTAAATCATTTCGTGTATTTTTACACCGTCAGAGGTTGTATGCTTAGGAGGAGTAAAAACCTGGGAGGTACGCAATGTTCCTATATATGGATGTCCAAAAGTTGGGTGGCCGAAATCGACTATTATTCCCAGAGGATCAGAATTGAAATAGGGATCTTATTTCTTGTACTGTTTTTTCTAGGTAAAAACTGTCGAGGTGTATCGATATGTAGCTCCCCGATACACCTCTATAGGGGTTGTATCGGGTCAGACTAGTTCAGACTATAGCTGGGACATAAACTGACTCCTCTGAACCGGTTTTGAAGAAAAATAAATAAATAAGCCTTTTGCAGGAATCACAGGGGCTCCATAATTTGTGTAGGAAAAAAGACGATTTCCATCAATGCCGCCAAAAAGTCGGTTTTAAATGTTCATTGCCCAAAATGGAGAAGCACAAACCTTGCCGAATTTGAAATTTTTATGCGCCTTGGAATGAAATTCAAAAATGTTAACAGTACAGACCATAAATGAAGAGGAGCATCTGCTGAAAGACGCAAATCTGCTGCAACAGACCATAAATGAGGATATCTAGACCATCAAATTGCATGAGATTCAATATGTTAGTAGTACGACTGTACGAGATCGTCGACATCTTTCACTGCCTTGAACTGAAAGATGTAATTGCATCCATCTCCTGCTGCAAGAGAAGAGCATCAATGAAGACATCTAGACTATCCCCCTGCATGACATCATTAATCGAATGGTGTGTTATCCCAACACGGTGATCTGTCACACGTCCCTGGGGAAAGTTGTATGTTCGGATGCGTTCAGATCTGTCCCCACTTCCAATCTGCTCAACATATCAGGTGCTTGTATTTATTTTGAGGAAAAGATGAGATACAACTACCTACTGCAAAATAATCTTACATGCACATACCTGTTCTGATCGAAGTCTTGATCTGGTTGTCTGAATTCTAGATCTCTCCATTTCGTATAACTTTGCACATAATACTTTAAGTGCCTTGGCCTTGTTCTGTCAACGACCATAAATGAACGGAATTAAGAAAATAACCCCCCCAAAAAAGGTGATTAGCACTCAATCACAGCAACAATGCCAATACTAACATAACTGGAACCATGACCTTACTGGACAGATGATGCTTGTCTATTGGTACTGATATTAGCTTAACCTATTTTCAACTTTTATTTTTATTTTTCAAAAATTTTCTAGTCCATTTATTATTTAATCCAGCCATGCAAGTAACCATTCAAACTAGATGCTCAAATGGTTGAAAAGCTTTTAAGCCATGATGCTAACTCCAATAGTTTTAGTTTGAAGTGGTTCATGATTCAAACATTAAGTAGGGCTAGCAACCTAATTGTGTTATGGTAATTGAGATTCTTTAACCTCATTGCTGCACATCTAACCAGCACTCTTTTTAGTCAGCCAATGAATATTTAAATGTTAAGACAATTACAGTTACCAAAGGAACAGGAGAAAATTATTAGCTCCTAGTGCAAAGCATTAAGAAGATAACGAAGAGTCGCATGAGGTAATAATCAGTTACCATATGCTGCGAACGTTCATCCTGTATCGATACAGTAATTCCTGATGGAATGTGAGTTATCCTTACTGCACTATTTGTTGTATTTGCATGCTGACCACCTGACCCACCCGATCTGTAAGTATCAATTCTCAAATCTTCACTCCGCAACTGAACATCTACCTGCAGAAACCTCACAGAGGAAAATGAATAACAATCTATATCAAAAAAAAAAAAAAAAGATAACCACACTAAATCGTATTATCCATGATTGAACTTCAATGCTATATTTTTATTTCAGATGTGTATTATGGGCAATAGGATTTGCCAGTTTATCAATATAGAGCTGACATGTATAGGCTATTACGCAGTCCTGTTTCCAACTATCTGGGGTTTTAGGAGGGGTGGACTTTATATAGACCTAACCATTGGCATTTTATCACGAAAAGTGTCCAACTCAGACTTAAACTCATATTCTCATGTTTGACATATGTATATATGCTCATTTTTTGGGGTGTGCTTGTCTGAACTCAGGTGTACCTCACCTAGCTTGTTACTATATTTTGATAAATTAACCTTCAATTTGTTGTTGATTATGTAATTTTTTATATTGTAGGTTTAATCATGATACTTGGAATTTAAGCAGTTAAGCCTATGTATGACTTGAATGTACAAATACAAGTTTTGTATTAATAACACAATACTATAAAAAATTGAGCTGAAAGGCTTTTTAAAATCTTAATACACACCAATATGCAAATCTAAATTCTGAAACATCAAATGACATAGAAGTCTTTTTAAAATATTTTGTTTCAGAATTAGATTTGCATATTAGTGTGTATTCTTTTGTTTTCTTTCTCAAAAGTGGCACTTCATTTCATTCAAGAAGCAGCTTCATCTTTACCTTCCCTTTCTTTTCCTTTCCTTTCCATTATTTTTCCTTTTTTTTTTATCTTTTTGTATGCAATGTGCATGAAGCACATACACCTCTGTCCTGCACCTGAGGCATATGCCTCAAAAAACACCAATGCCTCTGGCATACACCCTCAGGGCGTTTTGGGGGCACCGCATACACCTCCCACGCCTTTTAAAACATTGCCTTCAACATCCTCTGCTCTGAGGCTAAGATCATCCACACCTATCTTGACCATTGGCATCAGATACTTCTCTTCTAAAACATTACCAATTCCTCTCTCTCTCTCTCTCTCTCAAAAAAAAAAAACAAAAACAAAAAAACAAAAGAACAAAGATTTGCTTACTTCCACCACTGTATATAAATCAATTAATTTCTTCAATCACTTGGGCTTCATCCACTATAACCTCCTCTTCACTTGAAGCACCATCATCTGCATCTTCATTTTTTCTATCTTCATCCTCATCATCATCCTGCAGTGGTCTCGTCCCATAGTTTCCCTTTCTTTTGTAGACCTTTGAAGATGCCTATGAAGTGATGATTCCTTTAGATTGTTCTTTGTCCAAGCTACAGCCACCAGAATTCCATTTAACTTCATTTGGTGGTTGCCATTGCAATCATATTGTGGACCGAGCTGTCAACCCACTGCCATCCTCTAAAGACATCAACTAAAGTGACAAGGCTAAAAACCTTCAAGGTCTTCACCTAATCCCATATAAAGATTTAATTGCATTCTCAACATTTGCTAAATAATGGGAAGGTTCTCAAGATTGAAATAGGTCTTTATTTATCAAAAAAGATTCAAATATGTTTTTAGATGTCTTCTTTTGTAGCAAATATTATTTTTTAATCCCACTCCTTAGGAAATAAATATCTTGTAGCCCTTAAAAGAGGCATATTATAAAATCCCTGTAAACTCTTTTGAGATGATAAATGGAATATGAATTTTTTCTTGCAGTTTTGTGGTGTGGTGTTGATCCACCTAAGAAGATTCTAGTAGTCTGATCTTTTGCATTTTCAAATTACACACTTAAGTCCTCTTAATTATATTCTTATTCTTCACTTTATTTTGTTGTAACTGAATTTCATTCACCGACTTTCTTAGTCTTTTCATCCTGTTTCACCCTATTCTTCTTTACAAGTTTTTCTTGCTTTTCATTCCTACAGAGGACTCTTTTCCCCACGCAACACCATGAACTAGATCTATTCAACCTTGCTTTAGACATTCTTTTGGAATATGGTGACAACCCCTTTTCTATTCCTGTAAAAAACCACCTTCAACAGAACTTGACCCTAAACAAGCCATCTGTTCCCTTTTTCATTCCAATGTCACCTTTGCCTTTATTTTGGATTGATGACTGATGGTGGTGTCTCAGCCATCACATCAGAGAGGAAAGGTATTGGAGCCATTTTGTTTGATATAGAGATCAGATAAAGGGAGTTAGAAGGGGCTGGGGGGTTGAGATGCTTGTACACTTCTTGGTGAGGAGTTTCTGCTCTAAGAGGATAGCAATACTGCTATTCTTATTGATCAAAAAAAAAAATACTGCTATTCTCTTTTCTACACTGTTCAATGGTCGTCAGCATCAAACTTAAAATATTTCCCCTTTTGTTATGCTAAATGGATTCCCATCAAAATAACATTGCATCAAGAAACAGGAAACAAGAAAGGTTTAAAATATAACCAATCTGAAATATTACGAGTTAAGTTCTTGCACAAATTCTGCAGTCTTTCCAATTTTAAATCAGAGAACTTCAATAAAAAGAAGAAAAGCAGTCAAATACCTCATCAGCTTGGGGGAGGATAGCAACAGAGACAGCACTGGTGTGAACGCGTCCAGACTTCTCTGTTACAGGAACTCTCTGCCAGCAGAAAATTAATCATAGCTATCTTTAATTAATGCTGACAAAGAATATTAAAGACAGGTAGATTTAGAAGCACCTGTACTCTATGAATGCCACTCTCAAATTTAAGTTTCCCATAAGCACCATCTCCTGTAATCGCTCCACTAGCTTCCTGAGAAATGGAAATGGGTCACAAATCACAAAGTAGAAAATATTTAACCATTTCTCAAGCTCTCAAGCTCCCAGATAATAGACCACCCAAAGTTTTAAATGAACAAAGATAAGGAGAAATGATAAGAAATAGAAAAGCTATGAAGAATACAGAAGGGAAAAATTTTCTGCTGTCATAGAGTACAGGTGGATCTAAATCTACCTGTACAAATACGGAAGGAGCTTCCACTTTAGAAGCACTCCAATCAGATTTATAAGCTATAGGATGGATGCAAATAGCAAGGGCAGTACAACAGTACTCAAACAGCAATGCTGAAGTTCAAAACTTTGCAGAGGAAAAAGGGAAGCAAGAAGGAAGAAACTAAAGCTCAGCTGTGCAGGTCAGCTATTCAACCAGGGAAGTTGATGGAAAGACTGTTTCAGGAAGGGATGCTCTGTTTACTACAAGGTCAGAGATGCCAAAACTTTGGGCTAATATTCCTAAAGAAGAATGGCAAAATAGACTTGTGCTCTCAGTGAAAGAATACGTAAAAGATTGGAGAAGGTTGGGTTAAGAGATAAAAAGGGTTTTGAAGATTACAGGCAAGAAAGAGACCTTCCCTTTTGAAGCAAACAAGGCAGTGCTAGTTATCCCACAGAGTATGCCGGAGTTTGCCGCAACATGGTGGTGACCAATCAAGGGATGGTAATGATCCATAGGCAGGCCTATTCCAGCAATGAAAAGCATTGGAACTGACAGGCTATTTCTAAGAAATTTGGGGCTACCTTTCCACTTTTTGTCTTTTCACAAAGCTGGCTACACTTTGTTGAGGAAAAATGGAACAGTTAGATGTTTCAGACCTTTGTGCAGCCAGGATAAATAGTTGATGCTAAACCAGAGCAGGTCCCGCATATAATTGAAGTTTTTGTTGATGTAGTACATAAAGCATGGATTGCTTCATCCATTGAAGCTCAATGGTGGAGAGAAGGTGGTGCCAGTGGAGAAGATGATGACGTGGACAGTGGCCTGTTTCAAGAGGAAAGGCAGAAGGACAGAAGAACTTGCATGAGAAAGGAAGAGTAAAAGACGGAAACCGAAGAGCCTTGGACCGTGATTCCTCTTTTATAAGAAACACCCTTATACAAGTGGTTGATCCCAAGGCCCAGGTTAAATCTTATGCGCAGATGGTTGCATGTAAGACTTTACAACCATCTCAGCAGCAAGGAGAGGGTTTTCTTTTGACAAGTGGAATTTTAAACGCCTTGAACCAAACCTGTCAAGGATTGGTTCGTCCGGTTAAACCAAGAGCTCTAGTTCAGTTGGACCAGTGTCATGTGCTCCCTTTAGTGATCATATGACAACTAAAAGGGCAGAAGGATTGATAGACCATAATTTGAGTCTATCTTCTTCCAATTCAACTCAGAACAAAGGGAACACAGTTAGAATGAAGACTGCCACCTTCTTTGTGTTGGCAACCACAACAGTCCTCAAGAAATCTGGTGAAAGATTGCTCCAATTCAAGGTATTCTCGGGCAAAGTTGGAGGACTCAAAGGCTGGAGATGTAGGGTGGATAAGTTGCAGCGATTCAGAGAGTGAACATGTGGGGTCAGCAGATGGTTCTCTGTTAGGAAGTGTTGACAGTGACAAGGCAGTGGATGTTAAGACACCAACTACCTAACTACTGAAATCTTGATTGAAGAAGAGGGAAGCTGGGTAAAGTCGACCCTTGACCAACCAAACTTGGTCTTGCAAGTTAGCTGTGAAACAAAAGTGCCAAGGATAGAAACAGAGGGTGAGACTGATGACTCGGATGAAGGAAATTCCAGACCTAAAGTTCCACAACTACAGGGGAACTGTGAGGTGGTAGACAACAATCACCAACAGTCAAGCAAAGGTCAGCCAAATGAGGGCAAGCAAAAGAGATCTACAGATTATCATGAGCCAAACAATTTCATGGCACCCAGTGCTTTAAAAGTGCAAGGCACAAAGGTGAGGCACGCACCTTTTTAAGCAAGGCACAAATTTACAAAAAAAAGCTAAAAAATAAAAAAAAGTCAAAAAATTAAAAAAAAAAAAGCTAAAGGTTTTAAAAAATAAAAAATTATTAAACATAATGTTAATAAAAAATATAAACTTAAAATAAAAAAAAATTAAAAAACCTATTATCTAAAATTAAAATACATAAACATAACATGTAAAGCATATTCAAATGAAAATTTAAAATAAAAGCAAACATATAAAGCATTTCAAGCATGTAAAACCCACAATCTCTTTTTTTTGCTTAACTGCATTGCTTCAAGTAGCTAATGTGATGTAAAACATATTGCATTCTTGATTCTATAAGTCGCCTTTGTACCATGCCCCTCGAGGCAAGCCCAAACAAGTCTGTTAGGGTCTGAAATTCTTATTTCTCACATAAAAAATAAATGATTTTATAACTTTCATTGCCTTTTAAGAAGATATTTTATTGCAATGAATGAATGAACAACATTAGCCTCGAGGGGCGTGGTCGGGGTACGGGGGAGGAGCCCATAGTCCTATCATTATACTCAAAAAAAAAAAGCGCACGCCTGGGCTGAGGCGCATCAGGTGTGCGCCTTTTGAAAGGGGTGTGCCTAGGACCTGGGCGAGGCGCATACCCCAAAATGCGCCTTGCCTGTGCGCCTAGGCACGCCTTTTAAATCACTGATGGCACCTCCACTCAACTAGAAGGCAACTTCATTACAACTGATCAGGATGAGATGGCAATGAGTGACAAGTTGCTTTTCATGAACCTTCTCCAGTGTCAGGTACCGTTGTCAACTCTGCTTTTGGAATTAATCCTCTTTCTATGCCTGAAGCAGGTGTTCCGTGGTCTACCAGATGTTGATCAAAGGGCTTGAAGTTGTTGCTTGTGATGATGGTGGTTTTGGGGAATTTTAGGAAAATAGAGGAAGAGAAGAAAAATTTGGGATTTAATAAGGTCTCCATCAGTCGACTTTTACTCAAACAACAAGAAACACATGAAGTATCAAAAAATATTTAAAGATGGATATTTATATTTAATAGAACCAAAGTCAATAAAAATTTTCAATTTTTCAAAATGTGAATGTCCCAAACATTTATGCCATAAATCCCAAACATTATTTCTTTGTCCAACAAAAGATCCAGAAGTGGATGAACTAAAATACGTTGATGATGTTGGTGCTTGAGAATTCTCAAACACCAATGCAAATAAACACCCCAGCCTACGCCCCTTCCCTTTCACCTTCCCAGTGTACCGGTCCTAAATCAGACAACCATCGTGACTTGTCCAGACATCTCTCATGCAGTTCAGGTAGTTAGTTTGTTTCAGCCAATCCCACATAACTATTGTCCATCGGATTATCCGTTATGGCCGTGGCACTTTATCTCAGGGACCATTCTTTTCCTCCTCTCCTATTCAATTGAGGGCTTATGCTGATACAAATTAGGTAAGATGCCCTGACACCAATTTTTGGGCGACTCCCTCATTTCTTGAAAATGCAAGAAACAACAAACAATTTCTAAGTCATCTATAGAAGCCGAATACAGGGCTATGTCATCTGTATGTAGTGAGATTGTTTGACTTTAGTCTCTCGCTAATCTTTGCGTTCACCTCCCTACACCTATTCCTCTCTATGTTGATAACTCTAGTGCCATCAAGATTGCATCTAATCCAGTGTTCCATGAGAGAACCAAGCACATTGAGGTGAACTAACACTTTATTAGGGATCTATTTCTTGCTGGCTCCATCTCTCTTCCACATATAGCTTCCGATTTGCAGATTGTTTTTTTTTAATCTAGACATCCATATCTTGTGGGCAAACTGATGTTTGTCTCATTAGCATTAGTTTGAGGGGGAGTATGGAGACACTTGATGTACTATAGTTCTATGGCCTATGTTGTACTATAGTATTAGTCTCTTCTTTTTATCTTTCAGCCCTCTAAGGGCTCTTTTTGTAATTCTTTATTGTTCTCCTTTAGCCCTTCAAGGGCTCCTTTGTAATTATGCATAATTAATATATAATTTGACTCATTGGGGTGGAAGCAAGGTTTAAGATGTCGATGTTGATGGAAATGTCGCTTACAAAAATATAGGACATATGTCGAAAATGTCTAGGGGAAATATTGTAAAAATTAGAGATTGTGGAAATTTTATGAAATATGTGGAAAGATGCAATGATATTTTGTAAAATGATAAAAGCATTAATACATATTTCTAGACTATTATCTTATTCCCAACCATTATATAAAGCTAAGAAACTAAGATCAATAACAAATTAGTAAATGACRATTTACTGATTTATTATGCATTTTGATGTTTTTACAAGGTTATCTGATATTTTCTTTTGTTATTTTTAATTCTGATTTATTATAAATTCTAATATATTTATTTCACACTAGTAAATAGAAATACATTTATTCTGATTTTTTAAATATTAAAGTTATAATACAWTATGTTTTATTATAAATTTAATAAACTGATTCTCCTTTTTGTAGTATTAAGATTATGATAAATTCTGATTTCTTATAAAAACTTAATGAATTTATTATGATTTTTAATACTAAACTTATAATAAATTATGATTTAGTATAAAATTTAATAAACTTATTCTGATTTTTTATATTAAATGTAGAATATGATTTATTATAAAATTTAATAATCATTTTCTGATTTTAATAAATAATTTAAAAAATACTAACCAGTTAATATTTTATTACTTGAAAAATATTTTATGTTTTATATTGTAAAGTAATTAATTTATTCTTTTGGTTTTATATTTTGTTAATTCTTTTTTATAAATATTTTATTTGAAATATTAAATAGAAATTATTAATGGAATAATTTATATTAATATACTGTATTCTAATAATATAATATACTAATATATTATATTATTAATGTACATTAGTCGACATCGTGTCGACATTATCGACATAATAGGAAAAACGTCTTTTTTTTTTGGTTATTTGGACCAATTTGGTCGACATTTCCGAAATAATGTAATTTTTATATTAC